TGGCCTCGGTACAGCCGTATATTTTATACGCTAACTAACCGAACTGTACCTACAACTGTTGTTATAGAAGAGTACGTTATTTTTACCTGTAATAAACTACTACTGTTTGATGAGAAATCAAATCATGGTTTGCTATATATGACTGATATGTTATAGGAGCAAATCATTCAGAGAAGAAAGGCTACTAAGTATTTCCATCAAACTTTATTTTTAGAAATGTACAAAATGAACATGTGTAAATATAAAGCTTTGTAAGCGGCTGCCGGGGCTTTTTAGGACGAGGCATCAGAGTGGTCGTCCCGTGTGTGTGTTGTCCGCCAGATACGCCAGGAGTTTCCTGATCTGGCTGGACGAAATCAAATGCAAATCACAAAATATTAGAGAAACTTAGTTGTTTTAGATTCGTTAGTAGTAGTTGTGGTAGGAGTGTGTATCTATCTAATCTATCTATCTAATCAACACAGTTAGCTTGCCAGCTAATATGCTAATCTACGTTTGCTAGTTGTTCAGTGTAATATGCCAATCTACTATACAGCTAGTCTAGGCTAGCAAGAACATGTTTACAATTGCAATCTTATACGGGTAGTCTGCTACGTTCGGTCAATCATTGTAGCTGGCATGAAAACAATGTTTTCCCTAGCATGTCTAGCTGTAGGTAGCCTTGTTGTTTAGCTATGTAGCATACACGCTATGAACGGTAGCTCGGTAGCATACACGCCAGGAACGCCAACTATAATGTAGTGACCGTACGGTAAATCACCCGGAGTATACTGTCTGAGTATTTCGTGTTTGATTGCAGACATTCTCCAGCTATGAGATACATGTAAGGCCATCTGCTAACCTTGGAGATGGAAATGCGAGCAACTTAGTTAGCCCAGTTAGCATTGCTCGCACACACACAGACACACACACTGCTGGAGGAGCAGACAGGTTTGGCGATAAAGCTAGAACAAGCGAAACTCATCCTGAGCACACACAAACACTCACAGCCGAAGGAAAAACAATAAGTGTGGCTTGATATTGTTACGTAATTGTAATTGAGTCCTCTCCTGCTGATCTTCAGGTGTATATCAGTATGTAGTGTCTCTACTTTAAAGAGTCCTCTCCTGCTGATGTTCAGGTGTATATCAGTATGTAGTGTCTCTACTTTAAAGAGTCCCCTCCTGCTGATGTTCAGGTGTATATCAGTATGTAGTGTCTCTACTTTAAAGAGTCCTCTCCTGTTGATGTTCAGGTGTATATCAGTATGTTGTGTCTCTACTTTAAAGAGTCCTCTCCTGTTGATGTTCAGGTGTATATCAGTATGTAGTGTCTCTACTTTAAAGAGTCCTCTCCTGCTGATGTTCACGTGTATATCAGTATGTAGTGTCTCTACTTTAAAGAGTCCTCTCCTGCTGATGTTCAGGTCTATATCAGTATGTAGTGTCTCTACTTTAAAGAGTCCTCTCCTGTTGATGTTCAGGTGTATATCAGTATGTTGTGTCTCTACTTTAAAGAGTCCTCTCCTGTTGATGTTCAGGTGTATATCAGTATGTAGTGTCTCTACTTTAAAGAGTCCTCTCCTGCTGATGTTCACGTGTATATCAGTATGTAGTGTCTCTACTTTAAAGAGTCCTCTCCTGCTGATGTTCACGTGTATATCAGTATGTAGCGTCTCTAGTTTAATTTAACAGTCTTTAAAACACACAATCACAAAGTAATCTTCAGTTCCTTTGTTCAGACCTGGAAGCCATCTTGTGCCAGGGCTCAAAGGGGGAGCTCCAAAGTACTCCTTATATGTGCCGTATGAGTAGGCGGGGTCTTGCACATGATTGGTCAGGAAATGTGTGATTTTACGAGTGTCAATTAGGTTAAAAACTATCCGTATTAAGCAGACCTTGTTGTTGTTGAAGGGACAATATTTATGTTGATACAATTATGAATTTAATTAAGCCTTTACACGGTTCCCGCGGGCTCTTAAAAAGTCTTACATTTGATAATCAGAATTGAAGGCCTTAAAAAGGTCTTAAATATGACCAAAAAAATAAGAAAGGTCTTAAATATGATTTAGAAGGTCTTATAAAGTATCGGATTTGAAAGGTACTTCTGTGTTGCGATAGCGTCTAAATGTGTTTTAGGGGAAATGTCCGGGCTGCAAAGTAACCAGTACGGTAAGAGCCGTTCAGTTCCACCCAACAATTTGTATTGAAATAAATCAACTTGGAACCAGTAATCAATAACTTTGTTTCCCCCGGCCCCTTATCGGAGAACACCCAGCTAGTAACCGAGCAACCAGGCTTCAGCTAGCGGCAGTCAGAAACTCATGTCTCTTCAAATCTACTTACAAATAAATATGGGGAAGTGTAAGTTCAACCGTATTTGGTTGGAAAACCTCAAATTTAGTGCTTGGTTGAAACCAGTGGAGGGAACGTGTTTGAAGCCCGCTGCACCTTTTGCAAAAGAAATTAGCGTTTGTTTTGCTAATGTAGCGTTAGCTAGTGCAGCGTTAGCTAGTGCAGCAGCTCCCGCAACAACACCGGGGGACCTCCGGGCGACGTTTGGGTCTATGTCAACCCTAAAAGCGGAGGTGCTGTAGACGCTAAATACCGTAGTTAAACACCAATCATACAACAGCAACGATGAAAGATTGTAGCCAAGGCAGCAGAGCTCTTGACACACACACACACACACACACACACACACACACACACACACACACACACACACACACACACACACACACACACACACACACACACACTAGGGCTACTCGATTATGGAAAAAATCATAATCACGATTATTTTTGGTCAATAATTGATATCATGATTATTAAATATGATTATTAATTGACTTTGAGAACATCCATTTATTGAACTTTAAAACAAATAATAATTTGAACAGTATATTAACTGTAGATTACCCTGAACGTATAATTCAACTGAAAAACCAATACAAAAATAAATTAAATAAATGATACATTTAAAGGACACCTATCATGCTATATTTAAATGATATATTGTAGGGCCATACCTATATAAGGTATATTTATACGTTTCTGTTTTCAAAATACCAAACAGATCATGATTTTAGCCATGCCTCATTTCGCTCTATGTGCTGTTTGCTGTCTACGGGTCTGATTCTGCTGACCACGCCCCCCTGCAGGAGAGGGGAGACGTGCTCTGATCAGCTGCTGGGCTGTCAGAAGAGGGGGAGAAAAAGAGATCGCCGTCCTCCATGTTTTATTATATAGAGTCGTTATTCATTTGTTTTAAAGCTCAATAAATAACAAAGAAGACCTTACAGGCCTGGCATATGTACTACAGCGTCTCCAGCGCTTTCGAACGGCAATGGCCGTGGCTGTCTCCTCCTGATTGGTGGAGTTGGCCCAATAGCCGTAGCGCCACCGTCCTGACGTCAGGACAGTGTTCAAATCTGGATCAGTTTTTATCAGATCCGTTGCAGCCCCTTTTTTAGAGATTTGGGTATGGAGGAAAATAGAGAGGGTTGTGTTTTCTGACACTTGGTGAGTTCCCTGGAACACCGGGGACACATATTCATGTATAAAAGACGTACAAAAGTGCATTTTGCATGATAGGTCCCCTTTAAATAAAATTCAGAAAGAAATTCAGAAATCTTTAAAAAAAAAAAATAAGGTGAAGTATTTTAACTAAAGTTTTTTAAATAAAAGAAAACCTACATTTTGATTAAGTATGATTTGGTCATATGAAATCAAATGGGCTTGTATTTTTGTAGATCTCTGCACGACGGCCTCTCACTGACTCTTTGTCTCTCACTGTATATTTTAGGAACGGAGAAGAAGAAAGCGAACCGGATCTCACATATGTGACCAGTGTAACAAATCCCTCACAACATCTAATTCTTTAAAGAATCATCAGCGCATTCATACTGGAGAGAAACCGTACAGCTGTGACCAGTGTGGGAAAACCTTTGCTCAGAAAAGCAGCCTTTCAACTCATCAGCGCATTCACACTGGAGAGAAACCACACAGCTGTGACCAGTGTGGGAAAACCTTTGCTAGGAAAAGCAACCTTTCAACTCATCAGCGCATTCACACTGGAGAGAAACCACACAGCTGTGAAATGTGTGGGAAAACTTTTGCTCAGAAAAGCAGCCTTTCAACTCATCAGCGCATTCATACTGGAGAGAAACCGTACAGCTGTGACCAGTGTGGGAAAACCTTTGCTCAGAAAAGCAGCCTTTCAACTCATCAGCTCATTCACACTGGAGAGAAACCACACAGCTGTGACCAGTGTGGGAAAACCTTTGCTCAGAAAAGCAGCCTTTCAACTCATCAGCTCATTCACACTGGAGAGAAACCACACAGCTGTGACCAGTGTGGGAAAACTTTTGCTCAGAAAAGCACCCTTTCAACTCATCAGCTCATTCACACTGGAGAGAAACCACACAGCTGTGAAGAGTGTGGAAAAACGTTCATTTCATCAAGTGATCTCTCAGTCCATCATCGTATTCACACAGGAGAGAAACCACACAGCTGTGAAGAGTGTGGAAAAACGTTCATTTCATCAAGTGGTCTCTCAGTCCATCATCGTATTCACACTGGAGAGAAACCATACAGCTGTGAAGAGTGTGGAAAAACGTTCACTTCATCAAGTAGTCTCTCAGTCCATCATCGTATTCACACAGGAGAGAAACCATACTGGTGTGAAGAGTGTGGAAAAACGTTCATTTCATCAAGTCATCTTCAGAGCCATCATCGTATTCACACGGGAGAGAAACCATACAGCTGTGAAGAGTGTGGAAAAACCTTTTCTCATGGTAGTAGTCTTAAAGCCCACCAGCACACTCACTCTGCCTCCATCTGATCCTTTTCTGAGTCAAGCTAGCATTCCTCCTGCTTTTCTCCAAATGTAAAGCTGACCAACAGTGACTTTACGTTCTAATAAACATGTTTTTTATGGACTACATTCAGACCTCCCAAAACCCTGCTGTCCTCACACACTTAGCTCTATATGAGAGTGCTCTGGTTAATGAAAATGTTTTTTGATTTGGATAAAGCAGCCTTATACTGTTGCTGCGTTGCTGAACGTAACAATGATCTGTCTACCAGCAGCCTGTGAATGAGACGTTTAGGGAACATCTGTAAATAGAAGCATCTCTTGATCTTTTCCGTACATTTCTTAATATAGTCTTTATGTATAATACTTCCTAATCAATTACCCGTTGTGTGTAGTTGCAATTTTAGTGAGCATCGAGTTCAGAAAGGTTCTTGCTATGTTTAGTTGCCCAACATTCACTGAATATTTTTATTACACATTTATGTTCAATTGAAATGTTTGAGTTTTTGTCCTTTTTGAAGTGATCTTTAAAACACTAAGACACGTTGGGTATGAGAAGAGAGACACTAGAGATACTTGTAATGTGAGACTCAGTCGCAGTTATCCAGGTTAGAACTGAAACTCACTGAGAGTCACTATTTCTGGAGAAAGGTGTTAAATGTTTGAAATATGAAAGTCCATCATCTTCCGTTGAATTGCGGTGAAGGAGGGTCGTTAAATAAATATTTACATCTTGTGCTGCATCGCTACTTTTAATCTTGAATAATCTCCTTTCTGAATGCAGAATTGAAATGGCCCATTTGAAGCTAAAGTACTTGAAGGAGACTAGACTGGGGTCATCTTTAGAGAGGAGGGGGTATCAAGGGTGGGATTTAGGGGGAGGGATGAAGGGTAATGTGTTCACTCCTCCATCCTTTTGTTCCTGGAGGTTTCACATCAAGTCTGAGAGGAGTCGTCTCTGAGCAACTACTGCACATTTACATTTCTAAATGTCTGCTTTCTGCTTTCCTAGTACATGTTGGGTTTGAGAAGAGAGACCCTTTATTTAAACTCTGATATAATCTGATTTCTCTCATGTTCATCATTTGACTTCATTGTGACAGCCGTTTCTTTTCTGTGTTCACAGTCAATTTCTTTTGAAAAAATAAAATATATTGGAAAATTCAAGTTTTGTGTTAAAGTACAATATTTCTCTGGAATTCTATGTTTGTTAAGTTGAGAGTGTAAGGCCTATAATGGTGTATGGGTGTCACTGATAAGAGGTGAGGCAGTTTCTTCTCTCTCCCCTCACAGCAGTACACAGGGGGGGGGGGGGCTCCTGACTTAAGGAGAAATACACTGAGGCCCCAAAAAGGTTTTGTGTCATAGCCGAGAATAATATTTTGCAAGTCCTGCAGAGTAGGGGTCATGACCTTTTTACACAAACATGGGAAGGTGTGTCTTATGCCAGAGCCATAGAATATGTCTGGTCATGTCCAGTCCTGTGCATCAGATGCCCAGTTTCCACAGATATGGGTATGGAGGAGGGGTCTTTAGGTTTCTCTGTCCTGTTTTTGAGCATAAAGACACTGGTGGAGAGGGAGCAGACTCGAGAGAGGGGGGGGGGGGGGTTCCCCTGGTAGCTTTCTCCCTGAGAGCTGGGGTTTTGGTCTCGGTAAGGTTCTCTCAAACTTGGTAAATATCTCTCGAATTTCTTTGTTGAATGCTGAGTGAATTTCTTTGTGAAATGAGTGGAATGAATTGATGTTTGTTGAAAGTTAGTACCCTGCCACCTGTGAGGAAAGGTCCTCTGAATTCATGCGGGACTAGTTGAAGTATACGAATGTGGAAATGAGAAAATGAACTGATTTGGTGAATGAAAGTTTGAATGTGCTTTTTATTATCACCGGTCATTTATGAGGAAATGCCTCTAAATTCTGTCGGGAGATTTTAAATGTCACAACTGAATTGGGCAGTTGAAGTTACAATTTAGTGTAATAAATGTAAAACTGTGAATCAAAGTTTCACATTAGAACATGATCACAGCATGATATGTTTAGTATGATTATAATGTTGTAACGAGAGAAGGTAAAAACCCTGTTCAAGTGTGGACCTATTTTTCTTCAAATAAACTGATCCCACCTTTTGGATTGGGACAACTTGAAAGACATCTGCGCTCTCCTCTCCTGCTTCAAAGGTGAGATTGCACACTGCTACACTCAGACTTAGGTAGGGCCACACCTCATTACTGATATCAGAATCCTTCGGGATCGCTTAAACAGATTTAGGGGGTCGTCTGAATTGAAACAGCAGTTCATTGAACCTGGTTCTTCAGGAGTTAATAGAGGTGAGATCTTGCTGACGTTGGTGGATCTGAGCCAAGCAGTAAACTTACGTAGACTCAATAACTTCTGTTAGGTCAATTAGTAGGTCTGAGTCATTTGCCGGAATAAATGATCAGCCCTCCCGACTCCGACACAAGTCATCGATATTATCTACCACCAAATCATCTTCTTCAACATCTGTTGTGTCTTGAATGTCCCTTTCATTTTCAGTCCGGTCAGTTTGATCAAATGTTTCTGTATTCATCAAAATTCCTGGCTTAAACTGCAACTGGCTCTGCCTCTGTCTGCCATCATGGTTCCTGCTTTTGTGGGAATTAAATGTCACTGGTTTCAAAATGACAATCCTGGTAGGGGCATTGGACATTTTGGCGCATCCGGATATATGTACACAAATGTGAAAACAATCTACCTAACTATATAACTATCTATCTATACAACTAACTGTTATTCATGTTTGATCAGCACTGCATATTTTTACAGTTTTATCCGAGTTTGGAAAGATTCCGCTTGAAGTTAATCACAAAATGTATTAAAATTCAAATGAAAAGCTGTAAAATGTATTATCTCTTGGATTTACACACGGCATCTATTGCACGTCTGTCCGTCCTGGGAGAGGGATCCCTCCTCTGTTGCTCTCCCTGAGGTTTCTCCCATGTTCCCTTTAAACTGTGGGGTTTCTCTGGAAGTGTTTCCTTGTACGATGTGAGGGTCTAAGGACAGAGGGTCTAAGGACAGAGGGTCTAAGGACAGAGGGTCTAAGGACAGAGGGTGTCGTTTTCTCATACTGATATTCTGAACAAACTGTGCTGTTGTATTTGCTGTAAAGTGTCTTTACTGTAGGGTATTTTTTTATTATATGTACAGCACTTTGGCTCGATGAAAAATCGTTTAAAAATGTGCTATATAAATAAAACTTGATTTGATTTGATTTGAAAATGGCGTCCGTCTGTTATAAAAACGATCTCAAATTACAGCTAAATAGTGCACTAAAATACGTTTCAGAAAACTTTTGAGGGCAGAAATAAACAGTACAGTAACAGAATCTTGATTTGTGTTTGATCAAGACTGCATATTTGACCAGTTCAAATAAGCCTTGGTTGAGAAAAAGGACACCACATGATGGCTGTATGTTCAGAAACGTTCAAAACCAGAAACAGTACATATGCATTTCGTGACAGTTATTTATCATTTGTGACATTGTTAACATGTTTTTAATAAGCATTTAAACATTTTCAATTCATTTCAGAAAAGCTCTTATAACATGAATGGCATGGTGGTTTTAGTTAACGTTAGCTACCTTTGCTATTAGCTAACATTAAAGGTCCCATGTCATGCTTTTCCGGTTATGACCCGTCCCCTTGTGTGTTATGAAGGTGTTTCTGCATGTGAACGGTGTGCAGAGTCACAAACCCTCAAAGTACACCCTGTAGCGAGTAAAACTCTAACCCCTAGATTCCACCGGGTCCGTCTGCGCCGCGTTACGGCTGCGCCGCGGTTTTGGTCCGGCCTCCTCCGGCGTCATACCCTACCAGGCGCGTTTCAGAAGCATTTCAGAAGCGGAGCGTCTTGCCTGCCGGCTCGCAGTTTTTGTTGATTTGGGCATATTTCCTGGACAGTGTTATGGTTTAGGTGTTTTGCTTTCTCCTCTCTCTCCTGTGCAGTGTGGTGATCGTTAGAAGGCGCAGCTGGTTCACAATGAGGAGCACCATCTAATCAACTCCTCCATAAAACCCTGGTCATGTTCACACTCCAGTGCCAGATAACATGGACCCGGCAGAGACTGAATTTTCATGGGACCTTTAAGATTAGACTGCCAGGAGTTCTATTTCGTCCCTACTGACCGCCAGAGGCGGTGCTTTTAGCACTGGATATGTCCATCGTGCGCATGCGCAGCTCGAGTACCAATAACAACAAAGTCACCTGTGACCCACGTGACACCGGCTATATCAGCCGGTGTCGTCAGAGGATCTGTTCCTTTCATCTTCTCGCTGCGCGATGCAGTATGCAGCGATGCAGCGATGCATTATGCAGTATGCAGCCACGGTACTCTCGCTGCGCGAGAGTACCGTGGCTGCATACTGCATCTGGCATTCGTCTCGAACTTAACCAGTGAAGGCAGTGTTCTCGCCCCCGCTCCTGGTAGACGCTAGACTGCCTTGTTTATTAATCCAGCTAGGCGAAGGCAGCGCTCTCGCTCCCGCTCCCTCTGCCGGTAACGTGGGTGTAATTACATCCCTCTTTCTGTTTGGCGAGTAGCAGCACCGCTCTACTCTTTCCGTTAAACAGGTAGCTGGTGCAGGCTGTGTTCCCGCTCCCGGCTACGCTGCATCTGGCTACCCACAGAATGGCTCATTCATGTGGGCTGTCCCCTAAGGTGGATCGGTTAGCTGCCATCATGGAGCAGACAAAGCCGCTCCTGTTGGCCCTTCAGCCAGGGGCCGGTGTGGGGGCTACTAGCTTGCCGCCTGGCCCGCCTTCGGTTGCCACACCTCTGCTTGAGGATGCCATGTCGCTAGCGGCTCCGGCTGAACCTCTTCTTGAAAGGCGGGGGGCGGGGCCCCGCTCACCCCCGAAGAGGCTCCCCACTCCTCTGCTCAGAGCTCTTTGCAGTGCACGGAGGACGGCTCCATGGCGGCCATTATTCGTGCGGCCCTGGTACGCTTGCAGCTTCAGGTTCCGCAGGCCGACCCAGGCTAGCGCCTTCTTCAGGCATAACCCTGCCCCCTTTCATTCCCACTGTTCCTCCTTTAGAGGAGTACCTGAGGGAGCTCCATGCATGCTAGAGACACACCAGGGCCCTCTCCCACTCTGCTGCCATGCAGGATCCGGCGAGGGTGGGGCTGGGTCGCTTGCCATCCATTGAGCCTGCCATCGCCTCC